GATATAAAAAACATTTGCAATCCGTTAAAAGTGTCAGCTTCACCCACATACATCTGTTAGATTTTCAAGTAAGACCATAAAATAGTACTTATGAAGCGCTATACCATTGAACTTTACTTAACACTCGCAAGAACCCACCGTTTAACGACATGGCACTTTGACTAGCGCGCATAGAGCCAAACTTCTTCTCCAACTGATCCACAACTTTCTTGCTTGCTACTGGATAAGGCCATGAAAACTGGGAATGTAAACGAGTAAGAGCGAGAGGAAAATCCAGCACTGGCTTTCGTGTAGTTGCTGACAAAACTCGCGATACGTCAAGCTCCAAAGCGGTCATGAAGAAACCTCAAACAAGATATGTCAGCAGAAGATTCTAGGACTAAATTTCCAGAATAACAACCATAAAAATCCCTCCGAAGTGAAAAATTCTGAAACGGCACACCCCATCAATATGAGACCAAAATCTCAAAAAGCAGCCCAATGTTCATTGCATGGTAATATTTAGTTTCCAACATAGATATATCCTCAGCTCACCTAAATCTCTGATGCAGTATTCTTCCAACAAATGAGCAGCATGTCCATCAAGGATGGCGTTCATCTTCTCAGCTATTGGATTTACCTGAGTGGGGGAAGGAGGTACCATATCGTTAGAGGCCGCCTAAATTAGGGATATAACAACGAATAAGAAAGAACAATTCGACCATCAAGATATTATTTGACACATTCAAGGGCCTCATAAAGACTGAGACGTAGGATTCGTGATATACCCTTATTGAACCTTTCAAATGACGTAGGCATAAAGGCAGTGTTAAATTTTCCACTTACCTTTCTTTGAATCATTTCGGGATGCTGAAACGAAAATAAGCTTACTAGCATTAAATCGTCAAGAAAAAAGACCCCGACTCCCTTTGGACTGGGGAGACTTTTAGGCCAAAACGTTGCTGGCCATACTAGGCCTCTCCTGCCAGCAACGTTTTGGCGAGAAATTCAGGTGGAATCAAGTGAACGCAGCTGAAATCCACCACCTAGGACTAAAAAGAACCAAAAATATCCATTCTTTTTTTT